GTTAACGAACATAAAGAAAAATCAAAATTACTTTATTCAACAATCAACGAAAAATTAATCGAAGATAAGACGAAACTTATAGAAAAATTAAACGAAAAACGTGACACCCCTGACCTATTCCAACCTAATCAAATTGTCTATGTGCGAAAACATGAACGGAAAAAGTTGTCTGATAAATTCTCTAAGCCAACTGAAATAAAGTCGGTTAACCCTGAACGAAAGACGATCACTACAGACGCCCACGGAAAAATACATATGGATAATCTTAAAAAACCTCTTAGAAATACGTACAGTTTTGACTAGAATTCATTTTACAGCTAGGTTTCCTATTTCAGGTTCGTCGGCTTCGCACTTGTCGTTGGTAACGAGATAACTTTAAGAAAATTGGACGACAATGTTGGAATTATGCCGATTAAGCTAGGATCTGCAAAATGTGTCGAATATACTTATACTTTAATGCATTATTTTGATTTAAACCCAATTTTATCCGAATGCAATAAACTATACGAAAGACATAACAACATTTCAAACCTAATAGACACGCACCCTGGATATTTGAATGACAGTCAGAACTATATTAAGCTCCTTAACATTTTACAAGTGAGGATTGCAACCAAGATATCAGAAATTGTGCCTCATCCAAAACGATTAAAAAGAGGATTAGTTAACGTTGTTGGATCAATGTTTAAAGCTATCACAGGAAACTTAGACGCATCTGACGGCGAATATTATGACGAAGTAATAAAAAATTTACAAAACAACCAAAATGAGTTAGCAAATAACATTTTGAAACAAAACTCCTTATCCGTCAATGTTATCAATAAATTTAATCAAACTTTGCAACAAATGTATAACAATGACAAATACTTAGAATCAAAGATAAATCAAATCGCCATGATAGTTCAAAGTTCTGCTTATAGAGAAAATTCACTGTTTATCAAGGATGTCTTGATACAAATGATCAATACATACGAAATAATTGAATCCATACTACAAGACTTGGAAAATTCAATAACATTTGCAAAATTAAGCATCATTCATCCCAGTATAATTAAAATTAACGATCTCTATAAGGAACTCCTTATTATGCAAGAAAAGTTAGGATATAACCAAATGGTTTTACCAATCTCCTTAGAAAACACTTTTCTTTACGAAAAACTGATTAATATCGATTGCTTTATCCTTAATAATAAAATCAATTTCTTGCTTCGCATACCTGTTTCTTACCCAAAATTATTCGAGTATTTTCATTTGTATTCCATACCAGTCATATATAAGAGTTGGTTTAGGGCTGTTCTAACGCGAAATAATTATTTAATAAAAAATGAATTGCACCATGCGTACTACGGTCAGCCCTGCACAAAGGTAACCACCAATCTTTATCTTTGTAAACAAGAAGAGCTCCAGAAAAACGAAGACAACAATTCTTGCGAAATTGCACTATTAGACGCAGATCCGCAGACGTCAACTTGCCAAAAAACACAAGTAATTATCACCCGACCAATAATCAACCAACTAGAAAATTCAAATCAATGGATTTTTGTAATGCCAAAAGAAGAAACCATCAAACTTAAATGCAGTGCGCAAGAAGAAATCCGAAGACTACACGGAACGTACCTTGTCCAAATCCCTAACGATTGTTTGATCAAAACCAATAATCAAACAATAATAAATGGAAATCGATCGACGAATGCAACCCTTCAACCAATAATATTTCCTGACTGGCCGAACATTCCAATTGCACCGAATCAGTTAGATTTATCAGTGCATATCAAAGAAATCAAGCTAGACGACCTTGTTGACATAAAGAAGCAAATTCAAGCGAACTACCCTCAGTTGCACTCTCCTCAGCTCTACCATTACCCAAGTATATGGACCAAGTTCATTTATGTGGTTCTTATCACCTGTTTTGGGGTAGTGACCTACAAAAAGTATATCCAACCAAGATGTTTAAAGAAAAATCCAGAACAAGACGAAGGAAGAATCGACCCCCGAGTTGTTCAACTACCCCTCTAGACGGCCTAGTTGAATCCGAGGATGGAGGAGTTATGTCACCAACCAAGACGATATAACGCTGACATAGCATCTCTAATTTCTTTATATAAATTGCTTCCATCGAACTTTAGTTCACTTTTTACTTAGCTATATGATTGTCAATTAGTTTTAATTTTTAGAATAAAGTTTTTAAAAACGGTGTCGGTCGTCTCGATAAGTTAACTAGTGTCAGATATGTGCGCATACAATAATATTTTCCAATTAAATCATGTTTTTAATTTTAACAATGTCATATTAGATTTAGTGCTTTCACAAAAAGTTTTTGATATACAGCAATGTGACCCACTAGTGGAAATAGACAAACATCACCCACCTCTACATTTTCACCTTGAATATTCACATAAGAAAATAAACTCTATGAGTCCGCAAGCAGAAACTTTCTATCATGACTTCAAATATTTGTTGACTATACTCTTGTTAACAATTATCTGGGTTCCTTTAATTTTGATAAGATTCTTTCTAGCTTAAACATATACAAGATATGGTACAGAAATTTTATGATATCCTCGACAGTTGTTCCTCTCAAAAAAGTTTCTAGTAGGAAATTTCCAAAATGGTTTACACAAGAACCCATTAGTGCAACTATTGAAAAAAAATTGCTCACAAAAACTTTCGCTCCTTACCATCTCAACAAAACTATCAATCATTTTCTAAATTGCGCACTCTATGCAAGTCCCTATCTCAGCATTGCTACAAAAATTATGTCCAAGATGTTCGTCTCTCTCAACAATGATCCAAAACAGTTTTGGAAATACGTAAACTTTTAACGCAACTCTCATAGCCTACCCTCAACATCTCCCTTGACAATGCAACATATGAAATGGGTGTGGATGCAGCCAACCTTTTTGCAAACTACTTCGGATCAGTATACTCTCAAAATCAACCAAAATTTACTAAAAAAAACCTCCCTAAATAATATCAATATCAATACCGTCTTATGCTATTTCAATATATGACATATATTCTTAGCTATCCAACTTAAAAAGTTTCAAGGGTCATGATCCGGATAAAATTCACCCTATTCTTCTTAAAAATTGCCCTTTTATACTTTATACTTGCCAGACTTCTGCAAATTATAATTAACAAGTCTCTCTGGTCACCTTCCAGACGACTGGAAATCTAGTTATGTCACTCCCATTTTCAAGTCTAGAAACAGTGGAGACGTGAAGAATGACAGACCCGAGGACAGGCCCATCAGTATTATGAGCACAATTCCCAAGATATTTGAAAAATCAGTAACAAATTATTTAACATCAGTACTCTCACCTTTGATCTCAAATAATCAGTTCGGATTTTCTGCTAAATCTGTTGTCACATTCATCAAATATCATTATTGAAAGCTTTAAAAATGAATTGGAAGTACATACAATTTATACTTTATATTTTATACTTTAGTATATTGGTAAGTTATGTTTACAACTTAAGTACCTAATTGTTTTCAATTAAGATTTTCCAATGTTAGGTACCTGTAAATTACAGACTTTGCAAAGGCCTTTGATAAAGTGCCTCACAATATCTTAATCCACAAACTTAAATCAATGGGAATTTCAGGTGCCATGCTTGACTGGATTGAGAGTGACATAACTCGACGTACCCAGATTGTAGAAGTAAACAATTTTCTGTCTCATACAAATAAAGGTTTCCTCAGGAGTCGCCCAACGTTCCCATTTAGCACCACTGCTCTTTAATTGCTTTATAAATGATGCCGGATCACGCTTTAAGCACAGTGATCATAAGCTCTTCGCTGATGATATAAAACTTTCAAAAGTGATCTCCGATACAAAAGATTACTTCTTGCTACAACATGATCTTAATGAGTTTATACAGTGGTGCAAGACAAATGGAATGGAGCTGAATGTATCAAAATGTAAGCTAATGATCTTTTCTCGCAAACGCTCTAAAACATCCTTCAATTACCTACAACATTGACGGAAATTTACTTTTGATGGTTGAAACAATAACTGATCTCGGCATAGTTCTTGACCCGGAACTATCCTACACTGACCATATTACTTTCATAGTAAATAAATCACTTAGAATGTTAGGATTCCTGAAACGAAATACTCAAGATTTTAACTCAATCCATACTCTCAAAATACTTTATTGCAGTCTAGTCAGGTCACACTAAAAATATGCATCATCTATTTGGAATCCTCACTACGGAATACATATCACAAGAATAGAGGGTGTACCTACAGAGAAGATTCCTTCGCTACATTAATTATAAATTTTTCCATAATGAGTTAAGCTACGAAGCTCTGCACCAGAAATTAAATTTGCAAACTTGATCCACCAGGAGAAGTCTCAGGGACCTATCTTTGCTTTTTAAATTAAGGAACTCTATAGTGGATTGTGCCTACGTAACAAGCTTGGTCAACCTTCATGTTCCCCATTTTAACACAAGAAATCGTCAAACTTTTCATATTCCTTTTTTCCGCATAAATTATGGCAAAAACTCACGAAGCATGACTATTGCCAATTAAAATACAAATCTAGAATTCTTCACTACACCTAAACAATTTAAACAACAACTCTCACAGACTCACTTAACTTAATTATCACAATATGAATATTCAACATCATTATTTATAAGAGAACCTATAATTATTAAATTAATATAAAAATTATTATAATATTGAATGCTTCTTAAATAAATACGTACCTAATGTTGAAAAAACGACGAGTATTTGAAGTAGGAGTAGAAAATCATAAAGTAAGAAATCGGTCTGTAGCTGATAAAGTATCCAAAAATGATTCTTCATGTATGACAAAAATATGTAATCCTATATTTTAAATAGAAACTTATCAACTTATATAAGGAATGTTCACCGAAGTTAGTTACGAATTCGCCTTGGACCATCTCCAAGAAATTCTCGATTTAAGCGCATCGTAGGGTTAAAAATGCGACGTTGAAATATGTGGCGGTTTGTGCCGACTTTATTTCACGAAAATGATTGCTTTATTTAGTGTTCAAGCACTCTTTATTTAAAATTATTATTAGTATAAGACACCGGGTTTTTGGAGATGATTTATTTCGAGAACTGAATAAATATATCAAAATTTTGTTTGATTATTTTCTGGGGTGAAATAAAACTTTAATTTTATTAGAACTTTGTTTTATTTGTAGTAGTTTATTCTATTTGCCATGTCCTCCGCCAAAACCGCCTCCGAATCCAAAACCAAATCCGCCTCCTTGTCCTCCTCCTCCTCCGCCTCCGCCACCTCCACCTCCTCCTCCGCCTCCTCCTGTTAGAAAAAATATTTATCAATATAAATATACGCACTGATTAACTTTCCACCCCTATTGTACGAGAAAATAATTAAGAATTTTTCAAAAATTGGAAAGCTTTCGAAAACATAGGGGTGATAAGGTTTAAAAACTAACTATTACAAAATACAAAGAACTACCAATACCTCCGCCTCCATATCCTCCACCATAACCGCCGCCAATTCCACTTCCAGGATGTCCATCGTAACCTGAAATGCGAAATAACCATCATTTTATTATTATCAATAAAACATCTCAACATGTCAGTCAAAATAATTTAAAAATACAACACAATTTTAGCTGGGAATATCGCCCATCGCCGCCCTACTCTCCTGATTTTGCCCTTATCACATTTTCAACTCTGTATCTACCAATCGAACGCTTCCGAAACAAACACTGGCCTCAATTTTCCAGGTGGAATTGAAAATCTGCCAGATTTTTGGAATGCAGTCATAAAGAAAAAATAGAATATTCTTGATAAGTTCTTGTATTGTGTTTATTGAAAATAAATAAAGTAAAGCTTATAAGATTATCATGTCGGGGAAGTTAGCAACACATTCGAAGCTAAAACATGTTCCTGCTTGTGTTGCTATGGTCCTGCCTCATCCTGCTACAAATCTCATTCCGATACTGAGGTTATTATAATAAAACACGAAGTAATTATTAACTTTTAATTAGAAAAAACTGGCAAAAATTAAACGGAAAATTAATTTTACAACAAAACCGACGCCATTTTTTATTCAGAACTGAACTCATATGTTTTTACATGAAGGCGGTTCCTATAAAAATATTATTCCAAAGAATGTGTGGCGCCATCTACAAATTATGGTCCACACCTAACTAATTTCTGTGGTAAAATAATCTTATTGATTTTGTTAAAATGAAATCTGTTTTCTTCAACACGTCCCCTCAATAAAATTATTTTATCAATCAAACAATCAAAAATAATAACACATTTTCTCTAACTTAATTCTAGGATTCAAACCATAAATAAATCCTAAAATTTCATACCTAAAGCTGATCTGAATTTATCGAACTTTATCCTAGGCAAAGGTTTTGTGAATAAGTCAGCTATCTGATCTTCGGTTTTAATGTAAACAGTCTTCACAATCCCTTCATCTATTTTTTCTTTTATAAAATGGAACTTAATGTCCAGATGCTTTAGCCTCCTATTATTTTCAGGACTATTGGCTAAACAAATTGCTGCCCTGTTATCTTCATATATTTGAATTGGTTCATTAACCTCCAATTGAAAATCCAGCAAAAGTTTGCGTAGCCAACAAGCCTCTGTAACAGCCAAACTCAACGCTACATATTCAGACTCGGTAGACGAAATGGATACATTTTGCTGTTTCTTACTGGTCCAAGAAATTGTACTGTTGCACATTTTGAAAATAAATCCAGTGGTGGACTTTCTATCAGTGGTATCTCCACCCCAATCAGAATCAACATAACCAGTCAAAATGTTTCCATTTGGCTCGAACAGTAATTTTAAATTAATAGTACCTTGAATATACCTGAGCACTCGTTTCAATGATTTATACAAGTTCTCATTTGCTTTAGACTGAAATCTACTCAATATACTTATGCTTTCACATAAATCAGGTCTGGTAGCTAATGCAGCATACATTATACTACCTATTATTTTTCTGCACAACTTTTGTAACTCTACATTGTTTTCTTCTGTTTGAAAAATTCTCAGATCTAAGTTATGGTCAAGAGGAGTATTAATACTTTTGCAATTATGCATCTGAAATCTTTTTAAAACATTTTTTAAATAATTCTCTTGACTGAGTTCGGTATATCCAAGTTCTAAATTTTGAACAATCTGTATACCCAAATATTGAGATATTACCCCTAAATCTTTCATATGAAAATTCTTATTTAACAGATTTTTCAAATCAATAACTTCATATTCATCAGTGCCCAAAATTAATACATCATCTACATATAAAAGTAAGTAAAGCTTATTTTGTTTACATTTTGTGTACAAACAATAATCATTCTGCGATCTTACAAAATCATTCTGTATCATTAAAGAATCAAATTTTTTATTCCAACATTTTGGTGACTTTTTTAAACCATAAATGGACTTGTTTAGTTTACAGACAAAATTACTATTATTAATATTGGTACCTGGAAGCGACATGTACACCTCCTCTTCAATGTCACTATATAAAAATGCACCACGAACGTCCATCTGGTGTATGGGCTGCTTAACCATATTTGCTACTACAAGCAACATGCGAAATGTAGTCAGCTTGGCTACAGGAGCGTATATGTCATACAGCTCGCTATCGCAGTCTTGTTGGAAACCACGTGCAACCAACCTTGCTTTGAACTCGCGATCACTTTTTTGTTTAAGCACCCATTTACTTTCGATAACTTTTTTGTCCACGGGCCACGACACTTCCGACCACGTATTATTTTCTTTTAACACTTTCAGCTCTTCATCCACTGCTTCTTGCCACTTCAATGAGTCTTCACTTGATATTGCATCTTCATATGTAATTGCTTGTTCTGTTTCAGTGTAAAAGCTTACATCGTAATCTCTCATCCATGTTGGTCGTCTTATTTGTCTTCTATTTATTCTTCCTATATTTTCTTCTGGATTTTCTTCTTCTTCTTCGTTTTCTGAATCACTGTCTGCATGTTCTTGATTTTCCGGTTGTTCTTCAGGTGTTTCATTTTCTATTTCGTGTTGTAATTTTACGACTTCTTCATTTTCTTGTGTAACAATAGTCTCCTTTTCGTTTTCGGGAATAAAAACCACGTCTCTATGTATACCAACTTCATTTGTATCAGGAAAATATATGCGATAACCCTTTACTGTATCGCTATAGCCAACGAAAATTCCCAAGTGACTTTTAGCATCTAGTTTTGTTCTTTTTTGTTTAGGAATGTGTACAGCACATTTTGCGCCAAATTCTCTGAAAAAGTTGATATCAAAGTCTCTTTTGAACCAAAGTTTATGTGGAGTATCTTCCCTGTTTGAGTTACATCCAACTTTATTGAGAACAAAAACTGCTGCATTTAAGGCTTCTGCCCAAAGGTTTTTATCTAGATTTTTACTGTGTAACATTGTTCTAACTGTTTCGACTAGGGTTCTCATTTCTCTTTCTGCACGTCCGTTTTGTTCTGGGGTGTAAGGACAAGATGTTTCGTGTATGATCCCCTTACTTTCTAACAAGCACTTTAGATTTTTATTGACAAATTCCAATCCATTGTCGGTTCGAAGTCTTTGTATTTGACACCCTGTCTGATTTTTGGTCATTTCAATAAACTTTTGAAAGTAACCGATAACTTCTGATTTTTGTTTTAAGTAAAATACAAATCTATAGCCTGAAAAGTCATCTTTAATTAGTAGAAAATACCTTGCTTGTCCAAGTGATTCCACTTCAAAAGGTCCACAAAGATCAGCATGCATAAGTTCACAGGTATTATTGGCTCTTGAGTCACTCAATCGGAAAGGTAATCTGTGTTGCTTCCCGAGAAGACAATCAGTACAATGTGGATTATTTTGGTCTTTATATTTTATCTCATGTTTCTTCAAAGTTTTTTTTACTTGTTCGAAATTTATGTGTGCAAATTTCTTATGCCAATCTGTCAAACTTTCTATTACATGACACTCTTCAGTTTTATTTTCAGCCAACACAGTTTTTGAGACAGTTTCCTTCTTTAAATCAAGCAATTTAACAACATACAACCCATTTTCTTCTTTTTCGCCTTTCAAAATTTCTTTGTTATTTTTTGAGACTATAACCCTATTTTCTTTAAACAGGACTTCGCCTCCATTTTCAACAACTGCATTTACTGAGAGCAAATTTTTGGTCAATTCAGGCACTAATAGTACATTATTCAGTATGTACTTTTCGCCTACTATATTTCCTCTTCCAACAGCTTGCATTTTCTCATTTTTCTTCGCAACCAATATATCACTTTTTGTGTCTTCTGTGCAATTAAAGATTTCTACGTTGTTGGTCATGTGTGAAGTACATCCTGAGTCTACGACAAATTCTTGAAATTGGTTGGAAAAGCTGTGGGACAATAAAGCTACTTTGTTCTGGTTATTTTTTGTATGTTTGGAGTGGGAACTTGAATCTTCATCTTCCTTTTTCTTAAAGAAACAATTTTCTTCTTTATGGTTGGTTTTCTTGCATATGTTACACTTTATTTTATTTTTGGAATGGCAGTCCTTAGCATAATGGCCTGGTCTCCCACAGGCATAGCATTTTCTATTTTGTTGACCATATTTTTTATTACCATATTCTTTTTGTCTTCTATCTTCTGCCCTAAAGGCTACTGTTTCTTCAGTCGCCTCTCTTTGATTAAATCTTGCCTCTTCAGCAATCAATCTTGAAGTAAGATTGGTCAGTGTCCGTTCACTAACAGGTGTTGAATCCCATGCTGTAGAAAAATGTTTAAATTGTTCAGGCAACGTAGATAGAATCTTTGACATGAGCATGTTTTCGTCAATGTCTTGTTTTAAGGTCTTTAATCGGCAACATAAATTCTCCATTTTACTAATATGTAAACTAATATCAGAGTTTTTGTCATATTTAAAATTGAAAAATTCTTGCAGAAGATTACATTTCTGCTGCTCATTTTCTCTCTGGAAAATACCACATATTTTCTTAAACATTTCATGGGAATTTTCACAATTTAAAATATGCATCATGAGATTTTTATCAATTGTGGTTACTATAGCTTTTTGAGCCTGAGCGTCTTTCTTTTTCCAATCGGTTCTTTTATTGTCATCAACCATGTCTTGAAGCTTTTTAGCACCATCAACAATTTCATATAAACTATTTGCTTTAAATAATATTATGATTTGAAATTTCCATAATTCAAACGACTCACAATCTTTTAATTTGTTGATCAAGGACAAATCCTCTGAAGACGCCATTTTCCAACACTTCACTATTTTTGCCAGGTATAATCACACAGATTTTAGGTTGCCACACAGAATGCCACAAAGATTTTAGTTTTTTTTACTGTTTTTAGGTCACACAGGTTTTAATTTTCGCACACAAACGGGTCTGGGCCCATAACCTGAGGTTATTATAATAAAACACGAAGTAATTATTAACTTTTAATTAGAAAAAACTGGCAAAAATTAAACGGAAAATTAATTTTACAACAAAACCGACGCCATTTTTTATTCAGAACTGAACTCATATGTTTTTACATGAAGGCGGTTCCTATAAAAATATTATTCCAAAGAATGTGTGGCGCCATCTACAAATTATGGTCCACACCTAACTAATTTCTGTGGTAAAATAATCTTATTGATTTTGTTAAAATGAAATCTGTTTTCTTCAACAGATACCACGTACTATTTTCGAGATACATCAGGGATTTTTATTTTGGTTGCTAATTTCACCCTTGGCAACATCGCGCAAACATGTTCCTGCTTGTGTTGCTATGGTCCTGCCTCATTCTGTTTCAAATTTCACCCCAGCAACACCTAATATTTTTGAGATACACACTGGTAGCATTTCAAGAGTCTAGTCGTAGGAATAGAGAGAGTTCGAGACACCGTTGCCAAATATATCGTAATGAGTGCTTGTATGTTGGTATTTTAGTATTCGTCTCTGTAATATATGCTCGTCTTTGTGTCTTGGTATTTTAGATGAAAAGAGCTAATCCAAGAATTGAATTGAAACTAACCCGTCCTGGGATAGGTGGTCTCTCTACGCTTTCGTAGGGTTTTTATTTTCCTTTTTTTCTTAAAGATTATTAAGAGGACCGGTTAGTTTCAATTGAATCCTAGGATTAGCTTTTTTCGTTTAAAATACCACTATACAAAGACGAGCATATATTACAGAGACGGGTAAGTTTGGATTAGCTCTTTTCGTCTAAATTACCAACATACAAAGAATAGCATTCATTACGAGGACGAGTTAGTTTGGAATAGCTCTTTTCATCCAAAATACCAACATACAAAGACTAGCAATTATTATGAGGACGGGTTAGTTTGGGTTAGCCTGGATTAGCTCTTTTCGTTTAACATACCAACATACAAAGACTAGCATTCATTACAAAAGGACGAGTTAGTTTGAATTAGCTCTTTTCGCCTAAAATACCAACATGCAAAGACTAGCATTTATTACAAAAGGACGGGTTAGTTTGGATAAGCTCTTTTCGTCTAAAATACCAACATACAAAAGACTAGCACTTAGTATGAGGCCAGGTACGGGTTACTTTGGAATATCTCCTTTCGTCTAAAATATCAACATACAAAAACTAACACAGTATGAGGACGGTTTAGCTTGGGTTAGCTACTTCTGGTCTAAAATATCAAGATACAAAGACTAGCATTCATTACAAAAGTACAGGTTAGTTTGAGTTAGTTTGGTTTAGATATTTTTGTCGAAAATACCAACATACTGAAGCAGGATGAGGCAGGACCATAGCAGCATAAGCAGGAACCTGTTTCAGTGATCCTGCTTCCTATGTGTTGCCAAGGGTGAATTTAGCAACCAAAATGGGAATCGAAAACGATGGGTGTTGCTGGGTTGCGATTGAAGCAGCATAAAGCAGTAATATAGCAGCACAAACAGAGGTGTATCCTGAAGATCCTGCTTCCAATGTGTTGCTAACTTCCCCGACGTTAAATTATCACATCTACGATTATCACTTTTAAATCTTCAGTATTCAAATTCCATAAAATTTTTACTAAAGGCGAGTCAAACATTTCTCAGTCAAGATCGGAAGATTACAAAAATATTATCTTTCTACCAACCTTTGTTGTATCCACCTCCGCAGCATTGATTATTATTGCCACCTCCATAATGTCCTCCTGAGGGTTGATAAACTTTTTCGACCACTACAACAGTGGCTGGTCTAGAACAGCCCCCTCCATAACCTCCTCCGCAGCCACCTCCGTAGCCACTATTTCCGTAGCCACTATTTCCGTAGCTACCAAAATATTTTTTAAAGAAAGTGGGAGACGGTGCCGCAGATATGAATGTCATCCATAGCACGGAAAGTAGGAGAACCTGAAATAAATTTAAAATATATATATATTTTCAAGTCGGAGAAATTGAGTATAATCTGATGACTAGAAAATTCGCGAATGAATAGTCTAGCCAATTCAAAACGAATGGAAGAAAATTATCTAGACACCTCTAGAAGCAACGACGCGCTAGAAGGCGGAAACAAGTTCAGTGGTAAATAGGAAGCCAGAATCAGTTAGCGGTGAAATGAACGCAACAGATAATAAGAGGAGTGCGAGTCAATAGTAGAACAATGAGTTGTGTGACTAGTTGAGCTTGATTGTAGTTGAACGTAATCTTAGGGATATTTGTCTTGAAATCTGGATGAAACGCAAACCAAACTATGTAGGTATTTTTTTCTGAAACGAGTCTTTATTTCCAATTTAATAGCGCTAGAAAAAGACAAATATCTAGATACAATCTATAAAGAATAAGTTAATAAGTATAAAATTAAAATTGATAACCTATGCGGTTTTATCATGACAATGCAGAATTTTCTCAGTGAGTCACTTACCTTAGGTCACTGCTTGGTTGTTTTTTGGTTTTATTGTTACATTTTTGTTTTTGTGAATGTTTTTCCGATATTATTTATTTTGATGTTGACTCTATGTATTTATATTTAGAACAGTTTTTTTTTAGTATGTCCATTGTATTTTTTTTTTAATTGTTTTCTTATAAAACTAGTTTTAAGGGTTTCCATTGCGTTGATCATAGATTTAAGTTTAGCTTTGTCAATAAGATTGTATCTTCGATAATAAAGCAATTTTTGATATGAAACACATAATCAAACAAGGGGTTTTTCAAAAGTTTAGGTAGAAAGTAGAAGAGATCCAACAGTAATCTTAGTTCAGATAAACAAATAAAAACAACAAGGTCTAAATGCAAGTGCTTGAAAGAAAACCTAAATTATAATGGCTAACTGAATGTTAGAAAGATCAACAGAATTTTCCTATACTTAAACGTGATGATATCATTAAAAAATAATTGCATGTACCTATCACCTATTAATTACAAGCAATAATTGTTATTTATTTTAATAATCTCGGGATTATTGTGCCACTAATGACCTTGCAACTAGAAAATATTATCTACAATAGGTAGGTTGGTACATGAAATACTGAGAAAATGGTTATTATTTTAGGGGAAATACTAATAGCTGTTTTAATGTTATGCACAAATCTGAAATTATCGACGTAGGTGAGATATTAATCCAGGAAGAAAATTACACAAGTCTCACACAAAACACATAAGCGAAATAGAAAACAAAAACTCGAGATGATATTTGGACTGCAAATATAAACCATCAGACTGAAATGTGAGACCAAAATATCTCAACTGACTGAAGATATGATGAGGAAACAACCCAGACAGGACAGCACAGAAACATCTTAAAACGATATTCAAGATGACTGCTTACATCTTCAAGGCGTCTTAAAGATATTTTAAAGACGTATGTTCAGTGTTGCCAGGTCATATTTTGTTTTGTCAGTAAATTACCAGTCTAAATATCAGTAGAAATCAGTAGACAGATAAGTTGCCTTGTTAAAGGGGTAAACCATTAGGGTATACTCAATTAATTATTTTAACTACGTTTTTTCAAATCATTAAATCATTAGACTTTGTATTAGACTATGAAAACTTGCATTAGAAAATCAAACACCAATACTCTATACTTATGAGAAATAGTTTATTAAGATAGACACATGAGATATTCCTATTAAATATGCACAACCTATGGGATGCCCTATATTTGGTTCTATATTCTTGAAGAGTACAATTTCCCGATTCCAAAATTATATAGTTTGTCTATATTTGGTTGAGTCGGCCCCAACATATTTGGTTCTAAAAATTTTAAAAATACTATCACAGAAACCAAGTACCTACCTCAAATTTCACCTGCAGCTTTCACCTATACAGGTAGAATGGTTCACAAAATCAGTACCTATAGTAGGATAGTATTTTTACAATTTTTGAAGCCGAATATATGAGAGACTGTTCAATCAAATATAGACAAACTATATATTTTTGGAATAGGGGCATTGTGCTCTTTAATAATATAGAATGAAATATAGGGCATTTCATTTGAAAAAAGCTAAAAGCTTGCAAAATTTCACATTTTTGACATCCAAATTTTGTTTCTGACCATGGTTTCTAAAAATTCAGCCAAAACTGTACAACTTTTATATTTACACCTTTTTTCTACCTGTAAAGGTAAAGAAGGTAGGTGGAGTGTCAATATGTAAAAAAACACCATGTACAAATAAGTAGATTATTGCGTTATGGGTGAACCACTGCGGGACGAGCACAGCGAGTTCCGCAGCCATCTACTCACCAATATACCTACTGTTGAACATATTGATGAAAAGATGGCTGCGGAACTCGCTGCGCTCGTCCCGCAGAGGTCCACCCATAAGTTCCGCAACAATCTACTTGTTTGTACTTGAATAACTTGTCACATTATATTACTGGTTTGGTAAAGTAACATTACTAATTCCTGTTAATAGGCAAATTGACAAAAAGTGGATAATCTTACAAATTCTGACTTTATATAATAAATTATTTTTCAACTACAAATAAATGGATTGTTGCGGAACTTATGGGTGGACCACTGCGGGACGAGCGCAGCGAGTTCCGCAGCCATCTATCAATATTTTGTTTAATTACGAGATTAACCTGACTCACTCAAATGTGAGTTATTCTCATTAGTTTAAAAACTACATGTTTCAGGTAAATGTCTTATTTGAACAGTTCAACAGTATATTGGTGAGTAGATGACTGCGGAACTCGCTGCGCTCGTCCCGCAGAGGTGCACCTATAAAATCCGCAACAATCCACTTATTTGTACTTGAACAATAACGTATTATATGAAGTCAGAATTTGTAAGATTATGATTATTCACTTTCTGTCAATTCGCCTTTCAACAGGAATTAGTAATGTTACTTTACCAAACTAGTAATATAATGTGACAAGTTATTCAAGTACAAACGAGTGAATTGTTGCGGAACTTATAGGTGGACTCAGCCATCTATTCACCAATATGTTGTTTAAGTACGATACTAACCTGACTCACTCAAATGTGAGTTATTCTCATTAGTTTAAAAAGTACTCGTTTCAGGTGAGTGTCTTACTTGAACAGTTTAACAGTATATTGGTAACGGAATACCGAACTGATCGGGGTAATCGGGCAGACGTCGTTCAGAGGACACTCCTAGAAGTCCTAGCCCAAAGGTCGCGTATGAAATTATTGCAGTGACATTCTCATACAAGATTTTAATTTAAAAAATATCATAAAAAGCAGGTAAATATTGACAACGGCTTTTATCAGTAGAATTTACATTGATATCTGTATAGTACGCCCCTGTACTACCGACCGTTCGAGCAGAGACATCGCCGGCCGCCCGAGCGAGAGAGGGGAAGGCGCCATCGCGCCGACGACGACAGCCAGAGAGGTGAAGACAGACACGAACGACACAGGCCGCCAGCAACAAGTCGGCCACGCATAAAATAATATTTTTTCGATTTTCAATTGTCAATACACGTTTATTTAATACAAAACCAGCGCATCATTTTTGTGTACATCAGCAGAACACGTTACATGGTCCTTCGACAGCCAGATTCACGTCAACAAACAAATTTTAAACGAAAAATACGATAAAAAATAGTGCAGCACGGAATCGTTTGCGGCAGCAAGCAAGTGATTTTGAGAATTACACACACACACTACGATTATTATGCGGGGTAAGTTCCATTATCCTATCCTTTTTTAACCGTAAACAGAGTATCAATCGCAGTGGTACGGTTCATGCGTTTGATTATTGTCTGGAAGTTTTAATAAAGTAGAAGTATTACTGATAAAAAAAAAAAATGTTTGATATTAATTTGATTGCAATTATTTAATTCAATTTATTTTTGATGGTGAAATAAAATATTTATTTTAGTGTTTTATTTATTCATTGCATTATATTTTGACAATGTCGGATTCTGAGGAGGTAAAATCTCTAATAAAAAAACGCGGAACGCTCAAATCTAGATTAACATTATTCGAAAAATACGTAAATTCTATTGAAAGCCTTAATTTATCATCGGAGTCGGTAGAACGTTTTGTAGTTATTGAGTTGGAACAGCGAATGCAGGTATTTGATGGCTTAATAACTAATTTCGAGGATATTCAGGGTGATATTGAATGCGGCATTGATGATCCTGATAGCCAGTTAAATGAACGCGAAGAATTTTGCAATAGATACTACTGTATTTTATCAAAATCAAAGCAACTATATGAAACACTGAAACCGGTTGACACCCAAAGTAGTAAGTCAGTTAGTCAGAGTAGTTCAGGAAATCAGACACAGCACTTTAATGATGGAATAAAACTGCCAGACATAAAATTGCCAAAATTTGACGGGTCCTTTCAGGCTTGGTTAGATTTCCGTGATATTTTTGAATCTCTCATTCATGATAATTCGGCGCTAAATAAAATTCAAAAATTTCATTATCTCAGGGCATCACTATCAGGTTCAGCAACCCAGGTGATTCAGTCGTTAGAATTTAGTGCAAATAATTACGATATAGCTTGGGATACATTGTGCGAGCGATTTAATAACACCAATTTGTTGGTGCAAAACCATATTAATGCGATTTTTACTTTAGAAATTATAACGGTCGAGTCCGCTATAAAAATTCGAAATTTATCAGACAATCTTTTTAAACATTTATCAAGCCTAAAGCAGTTAGGAGAGCCCACCGAGCATTGGGACACTTTGATAATATATATTTGTTCAAGTAAGTTAGATAAAAGTTCTTCTCGTGAATGGGAAAGACTGAAAGCAAAACAAAGTAGTTCATGCACGTTAGATTTTTTCAAGAAATTTTTAAAAGAGCGAGCCGATTTACTTGAAAATATGGAAATTAATTTTGAAAAAGTTCGAAATGAATCACGTTCTGGATCGAGTTCTGGATACCGTTTTCGAGATAAACTAAATTCGACACGCGAAAATAAACAAGGT